CTCACTCACCCCCACTCACTCACCCCTGCTCACACCCCACTCACCCCTGCTCACACCCCAGTCATCCCTGCTCACACTCCTGCTCACTCACCTCCGCTCACTCACCCCCGCTCACTCACCCCTACTCATCCCCGCTCACACTCCCATTCACTCACCCCCATCACACCCCGCTCACACCCCACTCATCCCCGCTCACACTCCTACTCACTCACCCCCGCTCACACCCCACTCATCCCCGCTCACACTCCCACTCACTCACCCCCGCTCACACCCCACTCATCCCCGCTCACACTCCCACTCACTCACCCCCATCACACCTCCGCTCACTCACCACCACTCACACCCTACTCATCCCCGCTCACTCACCCCCACTCGCTCACCCCCGGGCCTTCACACAGGCTACACCTCCAGCCCCTCCACCACCACCAGCCCCTCATCCACCACCTATTACTTGACTAAATCCTCTCAACCCTCTGGTCCCAGACTAAAGAGGCTTCCCTAACCCGGGGCCAAGTGCTGCCCCGCCATCACGCCACTCACCCTTTTGTGGCTTCTGTGGCCTGAAGCTCACATTCCCACGCTCAGTCTCTGCCACCTGAGGACCCCACAAGCCCCATTTGTGGGTGGGGCCTGGCACACTCTGCACAACGAGCTGCTTTTGCATGAAATGTTCTGTGGCTTTCGGCAATCACCCGCCCCGTGTCCTCTGTGAAGTGGGATGACAGGTGCGCAGGCTGCCGCGATACCAAGCAGATAACACAGGCACAAGAACTGGTGTTCAGGGCCTGGCTCATGGAGGGGCCCCAAGTCCCAGCGCAGCAGAGCCTGTCTTGATCCCAGGGTTATGTCTAGGGATTCCCAGCACGCAGGACTTTCAATACTCAAGGCAGGATGGTCCCTGGGCAAACCAGGAAGAGCTGGCTGCCTCAGTAGGGCACAGAGGGCCTGGCCCTGCATGGGAACCGCCTGTCTCCAGGGCGCTTGCCAACATCTGCTGCTGGCCATG